CCCCCCAGACACTGCGTGGAGCGGATGGCGGGCCCTCTCGTAGCAGAGAATGAAGTTTTAGGGATGGAAATCGCAATATAAACAGGGGCCCGGACCCGCTCCCCGTCGGACCTGTGTGGGCAGCTGCGAGCTGGCGCGGAGGCTTCTCTCCCCCCCCCCCCCCCCTTTAATTTTTCTGCTGTCTGTGCGAGGGGCGCGTATGGGGGGGGGGTGATAAATGGCTCTGCCACGGGCATGGCTCCCATCCCTCCGGCGCAGATCGCCAGCTGCCCGGTTGTGTCTGCCACCGCCGAGCACCGAGCCTGCGGCTGGGCGGGGGGCTGCTGCCCCCCCAGCCCCACTGGGCAGCAGCAGGTGGGGGGGGGGGCCGTGCTGCTGCCCACCCCACACCCTGAGGAAGGGGCTTTTATTCTAGCAGCAGCCCAACCTTTGTAGCGGGACCCCCCCAAGCCGTGCCCCGGCTCCCCCTTGAAATCCCACGTGCGCCTATTGCCCCACATCACTTTTTGCTGCTGTTGAGCGCTTTACTCCTGTTGCATTTTGGGTGAGTCATGCAATTAATCCCAGTTAATTGCCTTCTCTATATTGCCTTATGCCCTGTGTTTAAATTCCTTTGTGTCCTTTGAGCTGAAAAATAATGCGTTTAGAACAGGGACTTGTTTTGCCAAGGGGTTTTTTTTATTTTTCTGCCCGCTCCTGCAAGCGTGGCCGTAGGCGTGCGGCCAGCAGGGAGGGCCCTGGCCGGGGTCTCCTGCTGGAAATGGGAGAGGCTGGTGGTGCCGGGGGCCAGACTCCCCTCAGCCGGCGGAGGGGTGGGCAGCACCGTCCCCGAGCTCCCGGAGGCTCAGGGGAGGCAGCTTTTGCGGGTCCGTGGCTACCCCTCGCTCCACAGTGGACGTGGCTCGGGTCCGGCTCTGCCTGTGGTGGTCCCACTCCTTCGGGGCAGGATATTTGCAGGGTGAGGGCCTGGGATTTGCAGGACTGGGTTTGGAGCAGAGGGGGCTTTGCTGCAGCCGTTTGCTGTGCCCGGTGGGCAGCGGCAAGAAAGGGGTGCCAGGCCTGGGCTATTGCAACCGCGCCGGTGTCTCCTGTCCCCGTGTTCCCGTGGGATGCTGAACCCTTTGGCTCTGGGCGTTGGAGCCGACGTTCGCCGCGGAGCAGGGCATTGCGGGGCGTCGGGCAGAGCACCAGTGGGGCAGCTCCTGTGCTACCGTCCCCTCTGCCGTGGAGCTACGCGGTGGCATTTGAAGGCATGCTGGGTCCCACTTCCCTTCAGGAGCATCGCTGCTCCATGGATGTGGTCCCCATTCCCACCGGTGATGCTGCTCGGTGTCGGACTCGCTCAGGCGCCGCACCGGCGTAAATCACGGCTCCTCAGCTGCAGCGCCAAAATGCTATGCCTGTCGCGGGTCCCTGCCGCGGCATTTTGTTCCCCCGTGCTTCTCCCCGGCCGAAGCCACTGCCAGTGCCACTGGAGAGCCTCGTGCCACGGGGCGAGAGGGCGATGCCGCGATGCCCGTGGACATGCATGAGGCGCGATAGCTCGATGCGGCCGACGCTGGGTCTCGGGGCTGCCGGGGCCGTGCCGTGTGCCAGCCACTGAGTAGCTGCTGCAGAGCAGCCCGGGCAGGAGGCGAAGGGCTTGCACAGCCCACCGTCCTGCTGGAGTCCTTTGCCCAGAGCAGGGCAAGCTGCTGGGTGCATCCTCCCCTTAACGGCAAAGGTCCATCTCCCCTCTCCCCCCAAAGCCCTCCTGCGCCAGGATGCTCTCAGCTCCAAAACTGAGCCCGTGCACCTTCCCTCCACCGATGGTGGGAGCTGGATGCTGCTCGGATATGTCCTGCTGTGCGGAAGGTTCCCCGAGGAATATTTTTTCCCCTCCCTAAAGACTGCAGCACCGGGGCCGGACTGTGTAAACACTGCAAAGTATCACCTGACAGCAGTTGACACTCGGGGGCTTTATCTGCTAGGGAATGATTGTGTTGCCAATATATTAAATAACTGCCTATGTAATGTATGCCCAGGTTATTGCAGAATTCATTTTATAATAAGAGCACTGGGATGCACTTTATTAATCATTCTGTCTAACAACCTGCACTCCACAGTTTCAGTTTGATTTGATTCAATCCCGTCTTTCTACAAAATATATGGCTGAGTGGGTCGGATAATGTATGGCTTAATTTAGAGTTGTATGGGTTTGAATTACCATTTTCATAATGTGCTGTGCATTAATGTGTTGCATCATTTATACAGAAAAATGTGCGAGGTTTCAAACCTCTCCGGGAGGCAAAAGTCACCTAAAGGCAACGCGGAGCGACAAAAAAAAGGCCCTTTCAAACCCAGGTGGTGGGGGGTGGGTTTGGGGTGGGAGGGCAGGGGCTGGGATAACACAGGTGGGTGTTGGACACGGGCACAGGGAGGGTTGAGGCTGTACCGGCGGCTCCCCTCCCTGTTGCACAACAGCAACTTTTCCAGCTCACCCCGAGCTGCCGGGGACCTCCAGCGCTTGACTCACCGGTGACCCCGGTGCCGGCGCTCGCCGCAATCGCGCCCGCCGTCAGTCACCCCGCTGCCGCAAGGAAAAAGCTCTGATTATCCAAATACAGTCATTAAAGGGGAAATGTGTTTTTAGGACTGTCAGAGTGATTAATGAGGGTTAGCAATCCTTGCAAATGCACTTGTTTAGTCTAACTGGCAGCCTCTATTTTCCTATTGATTTATTGCGGCAGTTGCCGGGGCCACGGTGTGTGTGGAAAGAGCCGGGACGCGCCGGGACTGTGCGCTATTTAAACGGCGAGCATGCAGGGCTGCGTGGTGTGCGGTGGAGGGGCACGGCACGCTTTGCTGTGCCGGGCCGTCGGAGGCAGCCAAACAAAGGCAACATTATACCTTGTGCTGGGGAAGGAATGACTTGGACGCACACGCAGAACAGCTCCGCCGTGCTGCGTGCCTTATAAATATCCCCGTTTGTAAAGCCCGAAGCCCATCTGACCACAAATGATCTGTCCACCTAATAAATATGTGAATGAAAGAGCAAGGCCGTATTTTTGTTGTTGTTTTCCTTCCTCTCCTGCACGCAAATCCCCAATGTCTTTTAGGTGATGCAGAGGTGTCTGCCCGCAGACGTACAAGGCGTTTCAGAGACCAGACCGGAGCACAAAGTCTTCGAGGGCTGGTGCGCGCCCGCCAAGAGGAGGTCAGGTCAGGATGCAGAGGCAAGGGCCGGAGCAGAAGCGATGGTGGGTGGATGAGAAGTTTCTCGGCTGCATAAAGCAGCTTTTCTTTCCGTGTGAGCCCTGGTGGAAGCCCTGGAGAATACGGGCTCTGTGTTCGTTCTCCCAGCCGGAGTGGTGTGGACATCTCCTATCCCCGCGCTCATCCCGGAGGTCAGGGGTTTGCTTTCGGGGATGCTTCGTGCTGCGTGTGCCGAGAGCAGACCCGGAGGGACAGACCCACGCTCAGTGACAGCCCCGGCAGCCAACACCACCGCCGCCGGCAGAGCTCCTGCTGCCCGGGGCTACGTGCCAGTGCCGGGAAGGGAGCAGCCGGCGGCGGTGTCGTGGAGTGGATGGGGCAGCCTGGGGGCACCGGGGTGCCAAGCTGCACTCCTGGTTTGCAGCCGTGAGCGTGGCCCCGTGCCGGAGCCCGGCGCTGCCCTGGCCTGTGGTTTGCCTCCAGCCAGTTTGAGCAGCGGGACAGCACAAATGACGAGAGGCCTTGGAGGAGGCGAGTGGAGAAGAACAAAGACCTCGAGGTGCTCAGGGAGCCCCCCAGGCCAGAAAAGCGTGGGCAAGCACCCTGGGCGCAGCGGTGACCAGGAACGCTGCGAGTGGGAGAAGGCTTTCATGTGGCTTTGAATGACAGCTGAAGAGCCGCTGCTGTCGCTTCCTTGGCCATAAATCGGTGTGCGGTGCGAATCCTCCCAGCGGCACCGACATCAGTTTGCAACAGCGATGCACCGACATCTTCCCCACCGTGCCAGGACACCCGGTTTTGGCTGGTCACCAGTTACCCCATGGGAAGTGCCCAGTGTGACCCATGGCCGTGGCTCCCCTCTTCTTCTGCAATGTCTGATCCCGGGTGCCGGAGCCGGCCGACCCACGCTGGCTCAGCGTGGCAATCCGGCACAGGTGCGGGGCCACTGGCCGGCTGCAAAACACCCCGGTCCTCGGGCTGAGCCCAAACCAGCGCTGGGCTGCAGCCGCTCCCTGCAGAGCGCAGCCCTGCTCGCGCAGATTTACACTGGCACTCATGTAAGTGATACTGTTCATTACTGTGATGCATGGTTAATAGTTATCTCTCTGTTTATTATCATGATGAATAACTGAAGAGTCGTAATTCTGTATACACAAATGTTTCAGCTAAATGCTCGCTGGAGAACGCTGGGGGAGACGCTCGGCTGACAGCTCAGTTTACAGAATATATTCCTTTAGCTCAATTCACAATAACAAACAGATTTCCACCGACCGTAATGTTTTCTAACATGGCGTTTAGGGAAACGTCCCGGAGCAGCTTTACCGTGACTTCATCCTACCTTCCAGCATGGTGCACGAGGTGGGACGGGAGGAATGTGACCTCTGCAAGGACGGACCCACGCAGGAGGCACCTTTGCAAGAAGAGACAGTGAGATGCCGCTGCCACGCCAGCAGAGCTGACCTCGACGGGTTGAGCAGAGCTGGGTGGCACCCGTAG